TTTACTTCATTTTTATACATGAATTACTTATTACTAATTACTTTCTAAATCCTATATCAAAGTTAATGAATGATACGAGGATAGACAAGAAACAATTATTTTAATTCTTTCAAATAAATAACAGATAACTACATCAATTATTCAGGTACACTTTAGATTGGAGTCAAATTCTCACTTATGACTTTTGCCTCAATATACTCCTAATTACTGCTTATTAACATTTAATAAAGTAGCTTAAGACCTGGGTAGGATTAATGATTTAGAATAAGGTCTTGCAGAGTAAGACATTAATATGTGCTTCTTAAGTAATAATAAACAGCCAATATCCCAGTAATATTCATGCATGTTAATAGTGAGAACTGGACACTAAAGTGTTACCAATATTCAGCTCACCAAAGTATTTAAAGTGAGAAGGGGACATAAAAAGCATGCATTTTAAGGTTAGGCTTTTGATGTTAAATCCACTATTGCATTGTATTTCAAGGCAAAAGTAATTAAATTACTTAGTAACTAGTTAGACCCAACACTTGGCTGTATATGTGCGACACTTGTCTTTTATGTAGTGGGTGTTGTTTCTTTATATCAATGAAAAACTGTTCCACATTTTAAATATCTCCCTTTCCTTATGATTTGTAATATAGTTTCTTATTTGTAAGTATCGAAAGAGATCACGTAAATGTGATATTTCTGAAAAAGCATGAGGTTTGAGTGATTTGAAGTGCTCTGTGTGTGTGTGTGTCTCTGTGTGTGTGTGTGTGTGTGTGTGCGCGCAGATGGTGAATCTGGAGGAGCAGCTGGAGCAGTTTCGAGAGGATCTGGAGAACAAGAGCGAGGAGATGAATCAGCTCCACATGCAGCTGGAAATCCAGAGGAAGGAGATCAGCAGCCATCAGCAGGATCAGGCCCGGCTCGCACAGGTCCGCTCTCATTATACACTGTGTTTGTGAAGAGAGAGCCAGAGCGCTACTGATTCAAGTCCCATCTTTATCCATTCCAATGTGGTTAAAAAAATATCTGGATCACAAAAGCAGTCATAAGTAGCACAGATATACATTTGTAGCAATAGCCAACAATTATAAATTTTTCTTTTATGCCAAAAATCATTATTATAAAGCGGATAGTTCCGGTGCTTGATTCTGATTGGCTGAGCCGCGTTCGAAGCTGTTGTAAATGACTCTACAAAGTAACACACACCTTTGTTTACGTTTGTCTGTTGCTCGGCAACCACTTTGTTGGAACCACAACTGATTCTGAGGAACTACATTGTTTGGTGGAAGAATACTGTTTTTATTAATATCATTACACTTTATTTGCTCTGTTTTATTTTGTGAAACCTTACTACGTATATGGAATAACCGTTTTATAAAAGCAATAAGCCCCGTGAAGCCGTGGTTTACAGTGAATTTATAACAGCTATTTATTCGCGTCGTGCCTAACAACGCCCCTTAGCTGTTATAAATTCACTTCTTGGGGCTTTTTGCTTTAGGATATTAAGTAAAGATCATGTTCCATGAAGATATTTTGTAAATCTCCTACCGTAAATATATCAAAACTTAATTTTTGATTAGTAATATGCATTGCTAAGAACTTCATTTGGACAACTTTAAAGATGATTTTCTCAATATTTAGATTTTTTTGCACCCTCAGATTCCAGATTTTCAAATAGTTGCATCTCAGCCAAATATATCCTAACAAACCATACATCAATGGAAAGCTTATTTATTCAGCTTTCAGATGATGCATAAATCTCAAATTCACAAAAATTGACCCTTATGACTGGTTTTGTGCTCCAGGGTTGAATATGAATCAGTGTGAGTGTCGATCAGAGATCATCTCGACGCTAATCTTAGCTAAATCGCCTCCCGACAGACAAGACTGTCCTAAATTCAGAGTCATGTGATGATGTTTAACTGTTGAAGGTCTTGGAGGAGAAGGACAGGCAGATAGCCGTCCTTAACGAGCAGCTCGCTAAGCGTCAGCGCGCGGGAACAGACCCTGAGAAAGAGGTAAAGACGTATGCATATGTGTGGACTGTCAGCGTGTGGCGCGCACATATGCATATAGCAGCAGCCGTGTGTGTGTGTGTGTTTCGTCTGTCTGGTTTGGTGCATCTCATGTCTTTTGCCAGCTTGTGCTCACATCTTATTTTTAGCAACATGGTGAAATGCATGAGCTTCTGTTTAAAGAGTGTGGACAGTTCATTGCATCATAAGGAACTGAGTGCATTCTTCAAACAAGATTTATTTGCTATTATTCAGAGCAAACAGGTTCATCCATGGTTTGACTGAATGGAATCCAGCCTCAGATCCTGTGGATCGATTCATTTGCTCATCCGTTCGTCGTTTTGATGTGGTTTGGTGTTTGTTCCGCAGTGTGTTTTACTTTAATTCATCTCTCAGCCTCCTGGTGAAAGGGATAGTTTGACCGAAAAGGAACATTACTCGCCCAAAACCCATGTTTTGATTGTGGAAAATGAAATGAGATGTTTAGCAGGATGTTCACGCTGCTCTTTTCCACACAGTGGAAGTGAAATGACATGAAAGTGCCATAATATTATTATAAAAATAGTCCATATAACTCATGCATCAGTGTTACATTAGTATCATTTATATATCTTTTAATTAATATTTTGTATTTATTTTTATAATTTTAATTTTAGTTACAGTAAATTTGTGTGCTTTTGTCATTTTATTAGTCTATTTATTTTTTAAATGTCTATATAGGTTTTATTCATTTTTATTTATTATATTACGTCAAGTTAAACTAAAGGAAAACGAGAAATTGTTGCCTTGGAAATCAGCTTAAAATACCTTTTTATCTTTTTGTTTTATTTTAATTAACATTTATTTTAGGTAACAAATTAACCCATTTTTTAAGGGTTTAGTTGACTATAATCCTGTCGTGCTCTATATTTCAAAGTTTATTTTTTCTTTTTTTTCTTTTCTTTTATTTCAGGTTTAGTTTGTTACTTTAGTGCATCAAATTAAACTAAACTAAAATGAAAAATGTTGCTTTAAAAATGTAGCTTTAAAAAAAGTTACATTTTATATCATTAGTTTATGTAAATTAACATTTATTTTAAAGTAACAATTTATTTATTAATTTTTAGGTTTTGGTTGTATTTAATTATAATAACCCTGTCATGCTCTATATTTCATGTCTTCTGTAACTCCGGGTCACTGTATGAAAGAGAGTAGCCAGTTTATTGTCTAATGCATCTTCTTTTTGTTCCCTGAAAAAGTCGTACGGGTTGATGATGACAGAATATTTATATTTGCATAAAATATTCCTTGCAACACTGAGTCAGAGGGTGTTTTCGCAGCTCAATGAAAGTGCCTCAGATTCCTAAATCTTAGTCTTTTGTGACTAACCAAATATCTGTTCAGTATTTTAAAGGAATGCATCGTCAAAAATAGATATTTTGTCATTTCCTCACGTTCATGTTGTTCCAACCTTATATTATTTTCTTTTTCAATGAAATGCAAAGAATGTCTGAGCTTGTTTTTGTTACATTTTCTTTTGATTACAATTTAAAGGGTTAATTTAATTGTTCAAAATAAAAATAAAATAAAAAAAAACACTTCATAGGGCAATTTAATAATGTTTTTTTTTTTTTTTTTTTTTACAATAACAGGTTTATTATTATTAATACATTATTAACATCAATATATTAAATTTATTAGACATGCTTTTTAATTATTAAAATGTAATTAAACCATTAAAAAGGAATCCAGAAACATTAAAATGTAAAAAAGAATTTGGGATAAATATAATGGAATTTTGGGAAAAAAGAAAGAGTCATAAAATAAAAACAAAAGAGAATTTGGGGGGGTGGGAGAAAGGAAAATTTTGTTAAAAAAATAATAATAAAATATTTGAGTAGGGCTCTAAAAATTGAATTTGTTACGTTTTTAATAGTTTTTAACAAATTGTTGTTAAATTGTAAGTTTCATGAATTCAATTGCTTTTTGATTACTAAAATTTAATTTAGCCATTAAAAAGGAATCCTGAAAAAAATCAAATAGATAAATTGGAATGCGTCTCAATTTTAGTAAAAAGTTTTGGTGTGTCACTACATTTAACATTGCTTTTTGGTTTTCTTTTTGAATCTTGTCAGTATAAAGTGATAAAATAAAGCCACCAGCTTTAATTGTATGTGAAACATCAGATCAGACATTTGACAAAATATCATCTTTATAAAATAATACTGGGTTGGAACGACTTGCTAAATGATTTTCATTCTCGGGTGAACGATTGAAGAATACTCTGAGATTAAACCCAAAGGGAACGAGAGGCGACTCTTCTCTGAGCTGGTGTGTTGGTCTGCAGGCGCAGGTGGAGGAGAAGGACGAGGTTCTGCGTGAGCTGGAGGCGCAGGTGGAGTGTCTGCGGAGCGAGCAGGAGCGTCTGAGGAGGAACAGCGAGGAGGAGGTGGAGCAGCTCAACGCCGTCATCGAGAAGCTCCAGCAGGAGCTGTCGCACATCGAGCACAAGCAGCCGCAGGACGAGAGCGATGAGATGAAGCAGAGGATGGAGGAGGCTCTGCGGGAGAAGACGGCTGCGCTCGTGGTGCTGCAGGCCCAGGTGCAGGCGCTGGAGGAGAGCGCAGGGTCACGGGTCACGAGCTTGAGTCGGCGGGTGGAGGAGCTGGAGACCAGCGTGGAGGAGAAGGACTCGGAACTGTGCGCGTGCAGGTTAGTGTTCATTACAGCAACCTAAACTGTGCTGAGAAATATTCCTCGAAATCGCTATATCGGCGATTGAGTTTTCATGCTTGGGTTGCCAGATGTCCAGAGTGTAAATCCCCCTATTTAGTGAGTAAGTTTAGATGACACTGTGGCTATATCAACATGCAATATCATTGCTGAGAAAAGACTAAAATGTAGTTTAAGAAATAAAAACTAAAAATTCTACATTTCTCCAGGGGAAGAAAATCACGATCTCTGTGAGTTTTCATGCTTGGGTTGCCAGATGTCCAGATTGTAAATCCCCCTATTTAGTGAGTAAGTTGAGATGATACTGTGGCTATATCAACATGCAATATCATTGCTGAGAAAAGACTAAAATGTAGTAAAAAAAAACTAAAAATTCTAAATTTCTCCAGGGGAAGAAAATCGCAATCTCTGTGAGTTTTCATGATTGGGTTGCCAGATGTCAAGAGTGTAAATCCCCTTATTTAGTGAGTAAGTTGAGACTAAGTCGAGATGACACTGTGGCTATATCAACATGCAATATTACTGCTGAGAAAACACTAAAATGTAGTTTAAAAAAATAAAAAAAACGTTAAATTAAAAATAATCTAAATTCAAGAATATCACGATCTCTGTGAGTCTTCATGCTTGGGGTTGCCAGATTTTAAGAGTTTAAAACAGTGATGAAAAATATTAGTTGACGGCCTTTTTATGACGAAAACGAGGCGACACAGACATCATTAAACTTTAACTGTGACTATATCAACTTGCTGATGAAAAAAGTCTAGACTAAAATTAAAAAGAAAAAACTCAGTTCAAAAAATCTCGATCTCTGCGAGTTTTCATGCTTGGGTTGCCAGATGTCAAGAGTGTAAATTCCCCTATTTAATTTAATTAACGAAAACAATGATGAAAAATATACCTTGACAGCTTTTTTTCCATGACTAAGACGAGACGACTCTGACATCATTAACTCTGACTATATCAATAAGCAGTGTTGTTGATGAAAAATTTGCAACTAAAATGTAGTTTAAAAAATAAAATCTCTCTTTATACAAAATGTCTCTGTATATATTCTTCAATATAAAAATAGGGAAAAAATATAGACCTCCACCAGTTTTCATGCTTGGGGTTGCCAGATGTCAAGCGTTTAAATTCCCTTATTTAGTGTTAATTCACTGACTAAAACTATGGTGAAAAATATTTGTTGACGGCTGTTTTTTTTCCGAGACGATACAGACATCATTAAACACTAACTGTCACTATATCAATATGTAATATTGTTGATGATAAAAGATGCAACTAAAATGTTGTTTTAAAAATAAACTCTCTATATCCAATATTTCTCTATATATTCTTCAACAAAACCAGAGGAGAAAAAAATAGACCTCCAGCAGTTTTTGTGCTTGCAGTTACCAGATTACAAAAGTGTAAATCCCCCTACTTAGTGTTAATTTTGTTACAAAAATCAACCTTTTTTCCCATGACGAAGACAAAATGACACTGACATTATTAAATGCTAGCTGTGACTATATCAACATGCAATCAACATATCAGCAAAAATAAAATTTAAAAAATGCAAAATTCCAATATTTGTCTATTTCTCTTTCAAAAAAATAAAAAAAGTAGAGAAAAAAATCTAGATCTCCATGAGTTTTCATGGTTGCGGTTGCCAGATTTCATGAGTTTAAATCCCCGTCTAATGTAAATTTCCTTAGCAAAAATAATGACCAAAAATATATTTAACGACGACAGTTTTGATGATACCGACATCATTAAACACTTGCTGTGACTATATTGAGATTAGGGATGCATCGGTATCGGCTCCGATACTGGCATTTTCTGCCAGATCGGGTATCGGTCAGATGAGACCGATCCAAATCGATATTCTGCGTATACTATTGTGTTATTGTTAAGCCTCACGAAAGCACAAAAACATTATAAAGCACCATAAAGTAAAAGTCCAAGTGTTCTGAAGCCGTTCCATAGTTTAATGTGAGGTACAGATTAATTTTTAAGTCGTTAAATTCAAGTTCACGTAAACTCTTCTCTCCGCTGCAGCTGTCCTATGATAGGACAGAAAAAGAAAGGCTATTAATCTAATGTATAGCACAGTAATGGAGGCAGCAATATATGATAGATAGGACTTTTGCTGCCTTCATTACTGTGCTATACATTTAAAAGAAATGTCTTTTAATTTTACAGTTTATATTTATAAATAAATACATTTACTTGTTTTCATTAATGTATTTTACAATACAAAGAGCAATGTGTAACATTTTACCAGATTTAGTCCTACACTTATTCACTTTTATTTGTTCCCCACTAAATAATGTTGTTTCACTAAATGTTTAGATTTTATAAAATTGTGCACTCATGATTTTTCTAGAATAAATTTTGCTGCTGAATTATCCACTAACCTAGTTTATAATAGTATTTTTGTCATAGATTGATATATTTTTTCATGTTATTTTTCATTACAATGAAGTTGTCTATATTTAGTAGATTGTGTTTAACACACAAAAGAGTGACGATCAGGTCAACACACAGAAGTATAGAAATTCTACATTGATTAAAAAAAAAGCACTGGGATCGGATCTGAAAAAAATGGTATCCTTGCATCCCTAATTGAGATGCAATATCATTGACAAAAAAAGATGAGAAAAAATAAAAACTGTTTATATCCAAAATGTCTCTGTATATTTTCTTCAACAAAAAAAAAAAAAAGAAGAGGAGAAAAAATAGACCTCCATGAGGTTCCATGCTTGAATTGTGCACTCATGATTTTTCTAGAATAAATTTTGCTGCTGAATTATCCACTAACCTAGTTTATAATAGTATTTTTGTCATAGATTGATATATTTTTTCATGTTATTTTTCATTACAATGAAGTTGTCTATATTTAGTAGATTGTGTTTAACACACAAAAGAGTGACGATCAGGTCAACACACAGAAGTATAGAAATTCTACATTGATTAAAAAAAAAGCACTGGGATCGGATCTGAAAAAAATGGTATCCTTGCATCCCTAATTGAGATGCAATATCATTGACAAAAAAAGATGAGAAAAAAAAAAAACTGTTTATATCCAAAATGTCTCTGTATATTTTCTTCAAAAAAAAAAAAAAAAAGAAGAGGAGAAAAAATAGACCTCCATGAGGTTCCATGCTTGCATTTGCCAAATTTCAAGAGTATAAATCCCTCAGTCAAATAAATAACAACAATGATCAATAATTGCAATTTACAATCAGTTTAACCATTATGCAGCATGGCTAAAATGTGTCTTAGTTTTAATGGACTAAAACGAGACTAAAATTCCCAGACTTTGTCAACTAAAACTTGACTAACCCACAAACAGGACTAAGACTAAATTACAAAAATTCACACTAATGTAGGTTGAAGGTGGAACAAGTGCAAAGGGACGCCGACGCTCTGTATGCTGAAGTGGCTCAGCTGGAGGAGAAACTCAGGGAGAATGTGGCCGCTGTTCTGGTCAGTCAAGCACAACTGGAAGCCATCCAGACGCAAACCAAAGAGCTCCGCGCTGAGGCCCACGCAGGAGAAGCCATGGGCCTCAGCGCGCAGCTGCGGTCGGAGGGCCTCACGGCGCAGGATGGAGCCTCCACAGGGAAGACGAGTCTGCTGACGGAGAAGCTGAAGGAGTTGGAGGAGGGTCTGAGCGGGATGCAGAAGGACCAGGAGCTGCAGAAGCAGCTGTTGAGCAGCTCTGAGGAGGAGGTGATGGAGTACGAGAGGAGGTTAGCCGTGATGATCGACCTACTGAACCAAATGAGAACCAGACCAACCCATCACAGACTGTCGCCGCCAGCTGAGGTGCGTCACTGTTATATTCAGATATAGGACTGTTAACTAAGACAAACTCTGATTTTACTAATAACAAATGTGATTGCAGTTAAAATAAAAGGCTCCAGGTTTATTGTGTTAGTTTGTAGGGCTGCACAGTTAGGCCAAAAATTTTGTTTGTATATCAATATGACTTTATTGTGGTCAACCGATATATTGTCATGACCGATATTTGGCATTTTTTGCCAAAAATGTTGTTTGTATATCAATATGACTTTATTGTGGTCAACCGATATATTGTCATGACCGATATTTGGCATTTTTTTGTCAAAAATGTTGTTTGTATATAAATATGACTATATAGCGGTCAACCGATATATTGTCATGACCGATATTATCGGCCGATGTTTGGCGTTTTTTGATTATCGGCATCAGCCGATAAGTTTTTATATTTGGCCGATAAATGAGACTTTTATTTTGACAGCACCTAAAACACAGGAGCTCCCTTTCATCATCATTATTAGTTTACTTTGTTTGGTTTAGTTTATTTTTTATTAGCTTTTGTTTAACAGTTCTGTCAAATAATTGAATGGCAAATGCTAAAATACTTTTTTCATATGTTGTCTCGTTGTTTTTAACATCTTTATTTGTGAAAAATACTGTAATAGGGTTACAGAATCAAGAAATTCCTATCGACAGTATAAATCTGTTTGTTTTACAGTGTTTTTATCAAGTCCAAATTATTTTTTTAAGTCGATTAATTTTTATTCATGATTTAATGAATTTGTCATTATTTTAGTAAATATTATAAATGATAAATATAAATTTACTATATAGTCATTTACTATCTTTAAATAAGAATTAAATCATTAAGAAAATGCATTATTTACGTTTTTTATTTAAAACACTAAATAATAGTCTTTAAATAATCGATATTGGTCAACCACAAAATATGACTTTAAAATAATATTTTATAGTATCATTATTTTACTTATTATTTCTAAATAAAGTATGAAATTAAATATGAAATATTACTGTTGTAATATTCACTGTACAATAAAAATATATTAAATATATATATCATTTTAAGCAGTAAAATTACAATATTTATGGCTGTCTTAATTTCTTCATTTTTCGAAAGTTAAATCATAGAGCTTTTATTTTGGCAGAAAACACCGTTAATGAACAGTGCCACACGTCACTCTGAAACACGCAGCACATATTTCTTTAATTAAATCACAGCCTTTGTGATTTTATAGTTCCACTAAGCCAAGTGATGATTTTGGTTTTATTTTGATTAATCGTGCAGCCCAGCTTAGTGTTTGAGATCATCTGAAGAGATTCTGTCTGTCCGCAGGCGTCAGGTGAGGCCGGTCAGTCGCTGTCAGAGCTGCTGCAGGAGGTCAAAGGTCAAGCTGCGTCCACTAAAGAGGAGCTGAACTGCTACAGAGATCTGAGCCACAAGCTTCAGGAGGAGATCGAGGTACAAACGCCTCGTCCTGCTCTTCTTACAGGACACGCTACTCTTCATACACACTGCTTTGTGTTTATACGCAGTAACGTGAGGTCATAAAGAAGGAAGTTGGATGGATGCTATTGTTCCTGAACAGCAGAAGAACTAATAATAAGAGTAAAATGAGTCAAAACTTGTGTCTGGGTGGATCAGTAGCTATGTTTCCATTCAAAAATGCGATTTAAACTTGTGCGCAGAACTGGAATATCGCATAAAACATTTGCAAATAAAGCACTGTTTCCATCCAACGAGTCAAAGAGAACAAAATCGTCACTTCCTGATAAACTCGCACTTAAATACTTTGAAATACTTCGATGACAGACTTTCCTCAGGCATTTCAGAACGATCATAACAACATATAGATGCTGTGAACGCGATTAGTCAGGTTTTCCCGTCCCATCGCACAAGTCACATGACTTTTTTTGATGCGCATGGTGGAATTTATTCGTTAAATGTGTTTCCATCGTAGTTTATGCGCATTTTTTCTTATCGGATAAAAAGTTTATCGTACTCAATTCTGCGCATTAGTTTTTAATGTGCATTTTTTAGAATTTATGCGCATCTTGGCGTTTCCATCCAGCGTTTTTTTAATGCGATATTCCAAAATGCGCATAAAAATAGGGGGATGGAAACATAGCTAGTGTTGTTTTAGTATCACACTGTTGTAGTTTTTATTAATAGTTTGAATTAGTTTTTATTTTATATTTTAGTTAAATTTTTTTTTCATATTATTATTATTATTTTAAATGTCTTTAGAGTTTGTATTCATTTTTATTTCAATTTTAGTTATTTTAGTACTATTTTAGACGTTTTGCCTCGGCAACTAACTGAAATAGATTTTTTAGATGATGCTTTATTTCAATAAATGTTATAATAAATTTTAAGTAGCTTTTTTTTATCATTTTAGTTTCTAGTTAATTTTTCTTAATGCTTGTAGGGCTGCACAATTTGTATTTTTTATTATGATTATTATTGTGAGACAAAAAATAAGAAATGTTACTATTGCAGTATTTCACTATAACGAAAGTTTATTTAGGAAAAATTAGGAAAAGTTTTTTTTTTTTTTTAAGTAACAGAAATATTTTTATAGTTTTAGTTAAAAAACAAACAATGGTGTTTTAAAGGTGACATATCATGAAAATCTGACTTTTCCAGGTTTTAAGTGCTATAATCAGGTCCCCGGTGCATCTACCAACCAAGGAAACGTGAAAAAGATTAACTCAGTAACTTAGTTTTGGGAAGCCTTTTTCTGCAAGCGTCTGAGAAAACAAGCGCGTCTGATTTCGCTCCCTTGGTGACGTGGCAAAGGGATCTCATTATAATATTACCGCCCCTTAATCTGTAAGTTTACACCCACGGCGCCGTTATTGTGTTTTC